CTTGGATCTAGTGTAGTAGACTATGCAATCACTGACATGGACCCCTCCACTATCAGTGCATTCACTGTCGGACAACAATCCCCCCTCTCAGACCACAACCAAATAAATCTGTTCTTTAAACTCTCAGGTCAAATGAATGACATAAAAAAAGAACCCAGTAAGCTGTTTAAATTAAATGCTACTTACCGATGGGCCCCAGACAGCGGAGACAAATTCATCATGGCCTTGAACTCACCTGATCTGATAGATGACATATCAATATATCTACACCAGAGATGGTGTAAACAAGGCCATTGATGATATCAATATGATATTTCACAAGGCAGCTATTAAAGCTGACCTTGTAAAACAAACACGGAAGCCTGTTGTCACGACCCGGCTCAAAAGGCCGCAACATGAGGGAGACAAGACGAGTTAAAAGTAATAAATAGACATTTATTTAAAGTACAAACTAACAGAGCTAAACCAAACAAACAAACAGCCAGGTCCTCCGCACAGGAGACAGAGAGGAGATGCGCAGAGAGGCCCAGCCACAGAAGAGGGGCAGCCTTTATAGCTGGGACCAACCCAACTCAGGTGTTGCCCATCAGTGGCCGATTAACATCCTGGAAGACAACCTGAGAGGAAACAGACAGACCCCTGGTGGAAGGGAGGGGTCGTCACACCCCCCTCCATAAAAGCAGTGTTCCCACCAGGAACACCAACAAACTGCATACACATTTCACAGATTTCACATTCCAGATAAAGAGTGCATCCCCCCAGCCCTCCAACCAGTCTCCACTCTGCAACTCCAACATGTGGAGAAGCATCTACGAGTGAGCGTGGATAAGGAAGGAAGGCCAGAGAGATTACAGTGATATGGTGAAGCACATGATGGGAAGCAGGGTTTGCTGCGAGGGCCAGTTCATGCAATGAGCTACATGAACGAGTGGTGAACAACCAGAACTGGAATTTACAAAATTGCCAGCTAACAGAAAACACCAAACTGAACTATCATAAGCGCTAAGCTGTAGGAGCCTAAAGGTTCCTCTGACAGACGCACAAAGAGGAAACCCAACTACAACTCAGCTCACCCAATCAAGGCATGAGCTGTAGCGCTGATGTTCCTGAAGGTAACAGGCCAAGTTACCAACTTGCCACACAAAAACCTGTTCACCACATCCCTCCTTTTATTACCCTCTTGCTTACCCTATGAACCATGAATACCTACTGCACACGGTGCAGCAGCAGTCTTCGGGCTCCACCTGGAAGGTAACTGGGTCCAATACCCAGACAACCAACAGGCTGTGCAATGCTCTTTTTACAGAGTCCAGAACATGACCATGATCACCAGAATACAAAACCAGAATAAAAAAAACCCAGAAACCAAAACATGCAGTTAGCAGGAACCACCAGAAACTAGTTTCCCTCAATAAAACCAGGAACAGAATTTAACACCCCAGCAAGAGCAGCCCATACCCAGCTAACATCACTGCCTCCATGTCCCTCTGACTGCCTAACCAGAGACTAAGTAAGCTCCCCCCTAGTCGTCAGGTGCTGTCTTGTGGTGGTACTTACGCACTAAAACCCGCAGGCTCGGTAAAGCAACCATGAACTGGCAACCCACCTCCAGCCTCGGACGTGCCCCGAGACAACTGCTCTAACCTCTTTCACACCACACTACAGAAACCCCCCAACGAACTCCATAGGGAGTCCGCTCTTCAGCCTAACGGGGACAGACCAGCAGCAATTTACTCACCGTGTATACAGGACCACCTAAACTCTGTTCCACAAAAACCACCAGCATATCACATGCTCAGTGACACAAACACTCTCAGGAACACTGATCACTGCAGCTGCTACAATAACCAAACACAGGACAACAGCCGACTCACCAAACTCGTCCAAGTCTCCCAAACAACCAGACTGCACATCTCACTCAACACATGGCACACAGCCTACCATGCTGCAGCTGCTACTGATATTCAAATTACTGCAGACACCAGGTCAATCTGAAGTGGACGAGCCCCCATATGTCACGACCCGGCTCAAAAGGCTGCAACATGAGGGAGACAAGACGAGTATAAAAGTAATACATAGACATTTATTTAAAGTACAAACTAACAGACCTAAACTAAACTAAACAAACAAATAAATAAATAAATAAATAAACAGCCAGGTCCTCCGCACAGGAGACAGAGAGGAGATGCGCAGAGAGGCCCAGCCACAGAAGAGGGGCAGCCTTTATAGCTGGGACCAACCCAACTGATTAACATCCTGGAAGACAACCTGAGAGGAAACAGACAGACCCCTGGTGGAAGGGAGGGGTCGTCACACTGTTAAAAGGCAAAACACGGACAAATGGTTTGATCAAGAATGCAAGAGCATCAGAAAAGACCTGAGAAAAATAGCAAATGAAAAACATCACCAACCAAACAACCCAGCCTTACGCATTAGGTACAATGAGAGACAGACAGACAGAGAGAGCGACAGACAGAGAGAGAGACAGACAGACAGACAGACAGACAGACAGACAGACAGACAGACAGACAGACAGACAGACAGACAGACAGACATGGATAAGCCTGATTATTATTATTAAGCCCGCAGGATTACAGTCAGTGTGCTTTGGCACAAAGGCAGTTACAAAGGCACACTGAATAAAGTTATTTTAATCAAGTTATATTGTCCAGCCATCCATATTCATGTGGGAACAACCCGGTGGAGGATCGTCTTCACTGGTCGATTTAACAGGCTGCATTTGACGGGTACTGCTTTCAGGCTTTGACTTCTTCCTTAAATGACGGATGAAGAAACCTTTGAATTTCCTCCAAAGGGAAACGTTGGGAGCCTCAGGGCAGACATCTTCCTGCGGGAGAAGTAATCTCTCCCTCTTGTCCGTCTTCTCTGCTTTTTCTTTCTCCACTGCCTCAAAGCACAGATATGGCAAAGAATGTCTGGCAAACTGTTTCGGGTACTTGATTATTGGCTTGAGTTTATTTTTCTCTATCTTGAGTCCATGGATCTCTAAAAGGAGTTGTTTGATAATCATCTGGAGTTCAGCGTTCTGTATCTGCAGTTTATTGTACTTTATCTGGAGTTCAAATTTATTTGTCCGGAGTTGATAGATCTTTGTCAGGAGTTCATGCGATTTAACATCCTGCATTTGACGGGTACTGCTTTCAGGTTTTGACTTCCTTAAATGACGGATGAAGAAACCTTTGAATTTCCTCCGAAGGGAAACGTCATCTTCCTGCGGGAGAAGGAATCTCACCCTCTTGACCGTCTTCTCTGCTTTTCCTTTCTCCACTGCCTCCAAGCACTGATATGGCAAAGCATGTTTGTCAAAGTTTTTCAGGTATTTGATTGTTGGCTTGAGTTTATTTTTCTTCTTCTGGAGTTCATTGCTCGTTGTCAGGATTTCATCGACCTTTGCCGGGAGTTCATCGCTCGTTGTCAGGATTTCATCGACCTTTGCCGGGAGTTCATCGATCGTTGTCAGGATTTCATCGACCTTTGCCGGGAGTTCATCGATCGTTGTCAGGATTTCATCGACCTTTGCCGGGAGTTCGATCGTTGTCAGGATTTCATCGACCTTTGTCGGGAGTTCATCGCTCGGTGTCAGGATTTCATCGACCTTTGTCRGGAGTTCATCGATCGTTGTCAGGATTTCATCGACCTTTGTCGGGAGTTCATCGCTCGGTGTCAGGATTTCATCGACCTTTGTCGGGAGTTCATCGCTCGGTGTCAGGATTTCATCGCTCTTTGTCGGGAGTTCATCGATCATTGTCAGGATTTCATCGTTCCTCGTTTGGAGCTCATCGCTCTTCGTCTGGAGTATGTCGTTTTTGTTCTGGAGTTCTTTGTTGTTTCTCTGGAGATCCTGGTTTGTTTCCAGGAGAATGCTGTATTCGAATTGAAGGCCACCAAGTTCTCGCTGAAGGTCCCTGTAGTTCACCTCCATAATATTGTCTTTTACCCAGAGGCGCTTGTTTTCTGTCTGGATGGCAGCTTTCCGGGCACGTTCGTCCTCAATAATGTCTTTCAGGCTCTGAATCTCTACCTGAAGAGACAGATTTCCGGCCCAATTGGCCGTCTGTTGGTCTTGTGAAAAGTCGTTGAATTTAGTTATACTCTCTATTTTTTGGGAGAGGTCCTGATAACATCTATTGGCTTCCTCTTGTGAGTCTTCAAAGGTTTTCTTGAATGCATCTATGATTTGATGTAACCTATCCATTTTCTTTTGTTTTGTAAAGCTGGGCTCAGACTACAGGAATGTAAAGTACTAACTGATACACTGGTATAAGGAGGAATTTAACAAATGTTCCTCTGTCTAATCCAAACTATGCACATACCAAAGCCAGAAGAATGATGTCACTGATGTCATGGAATGTCAGATCAAAGCCACAAGGCTCTAGAATCTTAACTGACTGCTTACTTAGCTCCGCCCACGGTTACTGTTGCTATGATGTCATGGAATGTCAGGTCAGACCCACAAGGCTTTACCCACCCTCCATAGTTACTGTTGCTATGGCTGTCAGGAAGGTATGAAACCTTTTTTAAAATATGTTTTTGTAACCAGGTAGAGAATTTGAGTCCCTAATATTTTTAGGATTATTTTTCTACTAAAACGGGTTGTGTCCTGTTTTATGGTTGCAAAATCTGGGCCTGATTGGAGGTTGCAGATGAGGGCCCATTCTGGCAGAGACAGCCAGACGAAACTGTTGCTGTAGCTGCTAGAACCAGCTCCAACCTTAGCTGGTCTTGCTAGATTTAGCTGTTTGGCCAGCTTATTCAAGTTCCTGTGATCAGCTGATAGACCAGTTTGGTGGAGCTGGTGGAGAGGTGAGCAGCCAGGTTGGTGGAGCTGGTGTTACTGGTCAGATGTTTTCAGACCGGCATCGCTATGCTGGTGTAACTATTCAGAAATGTATGAAGGTATATTTGTAAAAATAAAGCCCACAGTGTAAAAGTGATGTGGCAATCGAGACAACAGACGATGAAATTAAGCAACAACAGTGTTCCTGTAGCCAGGGAGCTCTTTATTCACCGTTACAATAATTAAAAAGCAAAAGCAGCATGTGTAGACATTCAGTATACCTTCTGTAGCTTGTGTAGTGCTAACGCTATGCTAATGTTAGCTCCACAGGTTTCTACATAGAAATGTGACATTTTAGAAACACATCTCCTTCCAACCTCTCCAGGTAACGAGTATCACTGTTACGCAACGTTTAACCATGACCAGCTCCAAATCCTTTAAACCAGCCTGAACATGAAGAACATCTGAAACTGTTGCATGAGAGACGATTAGTTGTCTGACCATGGTCGGAGCCGTCTTATGCTACCCTATGATTGGCCAGTCTGCAGTCAAGGGGCGGGACTTAGTGATTGGTATTTGGTGGTGGTGTTGATGGATTCAGCGCCAAATTTAGAAATTTCAGTGCAAAGTATTCTACGTATTCAACGTCTCCCAACTCTAGACTGTAGAGAGATGAGTGTTAGTGAAGAGTAGCTGTTACCCTTTCATTTAGCTAATGAATTGCTCATGCTAATCCCTAGCATACACATAACTAGCACTACTGTTAATCCCTAGCATACACACATCCCGGCCTTGCATGTAAACTCAAATTCACAAATGTTTGTATGAGTTTATACTTTGTCACTATAACAGAACCTTTAAAGCACTTACCTAACACTAATAACAATAGTTAGCATGCTAGCGATTAGCAGCTAAGCTAATTGAAAGGGTTACAGTTGTCACAAATGGCAAGTTAAAAGTAATAAAGTCCGGCTACATACTGAAGTTACGTAGACCAAGGCCAACAGTTCATGTGGTGCTCTTTTATATTCTGTAGAACTGTAGCAAATTGCTGCACTGGTAATGGAAAATTGCCTAAATTAGATGCAACTGGGTGTGTCTTAAGTCTTTTCCATCTTTTAAAACCTAATGCATAAAATAAGAGCTATTTGAGTGTTGGTATTGGGAAGTTGATTTACTGAAAAATAATTATCTGTTAAGTTACCGACGTCTCTTTCCCAATCTAAGTCTATGGGGGAATGGCATCCCGAGAGGGCCCCTGAAGTTACAATCCCACCATTTAGCCACTATGTACAATTTGCTTCAAAGTCGCTCGTCTTGGGCACTTGGATTAGTTACTCCTCAAGTTTGACTTAACAGCTGATATATTGTTTAGCTTCTATTAAACCTAGCACTAAGCTAGTTGACTTCTTCATGAAATGAAAGAGGACAGAGAAACTTTCCCCCCACTATGTGACAAATACCTGGAGAAATGACACATCACACACACACACACACACACAAATAGGAAATCACTACAGGATATGAGGCACCACGAGCCAATTACAGTGAGCATGCAGAGGCATAAAAATACCACAACCGCTTTAGTTCACTCCACACCCTCTTTTCTTGGCCTGGGTGCTGTGATATTAAAGGCTGAGGTTTTAGAGTGTGTTCTTCTGTGTCCATGCCAGCTGGCAATAACTTGTAAAAGGGTGAGGAAGAGACATGGGGTTTTCGTTCCAACACTCTGGAGCGTGACAGGGGACGTTTTGACAGCAGTCCTACGATAGGCCCCACAGGATGTCCAATCTTCAGGAAGAGAATCATCCATTAACAGTCCTCTTCAGTCCAGCAGCTGCTTTTATGTTCACTGGATCATTCAACCTATAGTCCTGTCCAAAATGTATCTCCCATTTATGTTTTGGATTCAATTTCACAAACCAAACCATATATATACCAAACCAATCAATTGCACTCACTCTTCTCAGTTTTCAGTGTAATTTGGTCACTGCTTACACATGACCAAGGCTGAAAGCTGCATCACAAAGACATCCTTGTCTAGCTTTCCAGCAAAGACGCGAGTTTTGTCTGAAACAGCTTGTCCCCGTACCCTTTCCTCGTCCCCCGTCAGCTGGCGGGTCAAAGTTCAAAGGCAGGGAAGCAGGAGGCTTCGGGGTTTGCCACCTCTGACAGGTAGTAGATGGCCCCTGCCATACCTGAGAGGAGAAACACGTCCATTACTGCCAGCTACAGGTTTCGCTGTCAATCAGTCAACTTTGTAGTTTCCTGCTCTCTCACTGGAGACATTATGCAATAATAAACCATTGTTTGAAACGTGTGAACTAATTATATAGAAGTACAACACTGGTCGTTGGTACTGTATGTCAACTGCTTTCCCTGAGATTTTTATTGTGTATATATTTTTGCACATTTCTCTCCTAATCCACTTTTTTTTCTGTCCTTGTGCTGCTGCAACACCAGAGTTCGCCCTCTAGAGATCAATAAAGGTTAGTGGTGTAACAGACCATTGTTGATCTGTGATCCGTATGGGTCCCCCCTCGCATGTGAACCACGGATTAATTACAAGGTCTGACGTTAATGACTCCGATCCGGATCATGACGTTTATGATCTGTTGCACCACTAATAAAAGTTAATGTTTTCAGTGAAAGACTGTTCATTTTAGCAAATTGCTTCTTTGAAGGGATCTTACAGGTATTTGACTTTCACATCTAACATTGTAAGAGCTCTGCTGTGTTAAGTCTTTCCTTGTCTCTCCCCTGTGTCATGGTGTGGGTACATCTCACTGGCACCAGGAAACGTATCAGAATACCCTTATTTTATTGGCTAAACTGCATCATGTGACGTGATTTACAACGCATTGGTCGATGTTTTTCCTGCACCGCTGAACAAGTGCCGTAAATGCTGGAAAGGAGCGTGAATAACTCCGCTGCATAAAGCAAAGGCCCGCGACCCACTGAAAACGGGTCCGCGATGAACCACCAGTTGAGAATCACTGGTCTACAGGATCGTGACGAGCGGTGAACAGCTGTTTGTGTGGCGTGTCTTACGTCTCTTCCTGTTTCCTTCACCTACATTCCACCGGGTCCTAAGCCCCTCCATGTACAGCTTATATGTACCAACGTACATTTATAACAAATACCACACATGTTACACGGTAATCAGCGTTGCATATGTGTCAAACTCTATCGGTGCATCTCCGGTCTGTCTTTGTTCATCCTGCATCGCTCTGTTCTTTAATGTAACGTTAATGGAGCGACGGAGCCTCTCCCAGCTGTCAGCAGACTGTTGTGCTAGCAGGCTCGCGAGTGAGCTGTACCCAGCATGCAATTCGGCGGTGAAATTTTATAAATATACAATTATTAGTGTAGTGTCGTAGTGTTTTGTCCTGTTAAAGAGCGTTAGTTGTGGGTTGTTAATTGTGCTATAAAATTGTGACCATGACTAGGGTTCCCTCTCAATACATATAAGAGAACTAGCTCCGACAGCAGAGCTTTCAGCAGCGAACAATATATTTAGCTGCCTGTTGAAGACAGACAACAGTTGTTTCAGCTATGCTCCGGTATGATGGTGTATGAAGAAGTCATTTCATATGGTAAATTAAAACCAGTATACTGCCCAGCCCTAGTATTTATTTTAGTTTGGACAATTTTGTACCAATATTTGACGGGCCAGATCAAAATGCCCAACGGGCCGCATATGGCCCGCCGTAGTTTGCCCATGCCTGGGCTAGAGTGTGGTCACTCTTCCAGCAACCACATAATAATAATAATAATAATAATAATAATAATAATAATAATAATAATAATAATAATAATAATAATAATAATAATAATAACTGGTAAGGGCAATCACCAAACACTACCTGGCTAAAATGTATTGTAGGATTCCATAAAGTCAACACAGGTTAAGTTAGCTGAGTTAACACTAAGTTAATACAGGCTTTACAACACAAGCTCGTTCTAAGTATTGAAACCTCCTGACAGTTAATATGATCGTTGTGTATCAGACTGAACCAGCTAACAAAACTATCTCACTAACATATGAGACGTTTAGAGTGAAGAATGTAAGAGGTAATATGAAATATGGTCGACACTTCTGACCCTACACTTGACTGAAATGCTGTTCAATAAGGATGTAAACACGCAAGTAGCGTCGAAAATATCCAGGCTCAGAAAACATTGGCCTACATTTGAGGTATTATTTTTATTCAAATGTCATGATGAATTGTTGTGGTATTAACCTGTATGTCTTTAGTCTTGTTTTTATTGCTATGGGCTCTTTTGTGAGTCAAGTTTGAATTGAACCGATTGCCTTAAGTGCAGCGCTACTATTGGTTTATAGAAACTGATGTACACAATTAAGGTCTACAACAAGCAGCAACCGCCGGGTCTGAAAAGTGAGGCCAATCCATGTGTTAAAGCTGCATTATCTCTAGTGTCCAGCAGGGGGCAACTCCTCTGGTTGTATCGAAGTCTATGAGAAAATGACTCTACTTCTCTCTTGATTTATTACCTCAGTAAACATTGTAAACATGAGTTTATGGTCTCAATCTCTAGTTTCAAGTCTTCTTCAATACAGCATGATGTTCATTTAGTACATTATGGTCCATTTAGAGTCAAACAGACCATAAAGCAGGGGATGCTTTAGGGCGGGGCTACACAGTGATTGACAGGTCTCTACCACCACCAGTGTTGGAAGCATGAATGAATCCAATCAGCTAATGAAAAAAGTATTCATCATTAATACACGTTTCAGTCTTCCTATTTGCAAGTTATTATGAGAGAAGTTCTTCCCATATTTTAGTAAAAGAAGACATTGGTTATTTTGAAAAACAAATAAGTAGTATTCTGCATCTCCATATGCCCATGTAGACTATCAGAATTAGACCTGCTGCTTCTGTGTCGTCAGTGGTTCATTACTGGGACTTTCTGCTGTGTTGTGCTGCCAGGCGGGTCCTTCATTCTTTCGTTACAGCTAATTGAAAGGCCACTCTAACAGATACACAGGGTGCTGTGTAATTGGCCTTTGATGGAAGAATAGCTAGCAGCAGACCGTGTTTCCCCAACACAAATTGCAGGCCCGCTACTACATCGATTCAAAAGAGGGTGGTTCTTGAAAGGGAAGCAAAATGTCAAAGCGGATTTGAAATCAGTGTGGTGGAAAAGTTGCATGATTAATAGTCGGTACCTTCAAATAGAGAGTAGGGTCTGTCTGGGATGCGACAGCCGTGGGTCCCGTAGGCCAAACACCACTCGGCAAACTGGAAGGAGGAAGGTAATATCAATGTGTTTATAGACATCAATGCAACGATCAACCATACACGTTTGAGAATATGCCAAAGAGAAGAAATAAAATGAGGCATCAAGTTATTGCTTGATTAGGTCAGTGCCACCAACAACACACGATGTGTCCTTTATGTCAGCAACAAGACATCGGTTCTCTTTAAGCTGTGGACAACGTGACACTCGTATGCTTTACTGCTGAGATTTTGGGAAGGAGGCTTGTAAAATGATGCAACCCAATCAATAGACAGTAGACCATTAGGCCTACTGGTTGCTAATGACTGCTAATGCAGTCCTGTTATGTAATACTAATGCAGCTATAACACAGTGCAGCTCCAGCTGCTTTCAGAACCAAAATAATATATTCATTTGTGTGAAGGCTGTTAGGTCTCAACAGAAAACTATGAGATGTTACGTTGTAAAACGACTTTAATCAGCAGCCTGTTAACCAGCCCCACCTTCTTCGTCTGTGAGCATCACCCTTTGCTGATATCTCAACCTTTTAGCCGACGCCTCATTAGAGAACTCTGCAGATCAAAACATCAAACTCAATGCAACAGAACAAGATGCATCGACTTCTTTATTTCACGTGTTCTTCTTACTCTCTAAAACCTGGCGCCTACGTTACCCACAATGCAACACAGACAGAAGCTAAAGTAGCCTGCAGCAGAGATGAGCCCTGTGTGAGGCCACAGAGGTCTGGTAAGGTCACTTATTTCTGATTCCACACTTCCGGAGTTTTGTCATTCTCAAACACCGCTGACTCAAGTGACATCACTTGAGGACATGACCCAGACTTCACATAGCTGCCGGTGGTTTTTTAGCTCCTCCAAAAGCAGCCCAACACTTCGTTCCTACCTTGCAGACGCGGTACAGGTATTTCTTCTCATGGGTGAGCTTGTACAGGGACAGGAAGGCATAGGCATTGCCGGCGGTGCCGTGGCAGATGCCGTAGCCTTTTCTGAGCAGGCCCCGCTGCCAGATCACCTCAGCGCAATCTGCAGCCTCCTTCAGGTACTTCTCCTCTTCGAACACCTGGGGAGACACGGATGAAGCCAAACCATTAGTCACACTTGGGACAAAGGAGTAGCTCACAACAACCACTGTCAAAATGCACTGGCACTTTAAATTCATGGCAAGACGTCAGCGCTCATCACAATTCATAATGTTGTTCAACAACTTGTCCACTTTGGATTGGGAGTTGTCTTCTCAGCTTGTTTCCTTATATTTCGGTTCAAATTTACAAAACCTGCACAATTAAGACTAAAAGAAACGTGTAATCCTCAAAGCACCCGCAAAGGGTGAAGTGCACGAGCTCTCAGTGCTTCTGTGCCATTTGCACGTATTTAAATGATATTTGGCACAGAAATCAGGCTAATTCACAAAAATCTGCTTGGATAGTCACATGGAGTTACAGCGTTCATATATTTTGGGATGCTGTGAGAAAAAACTAAATGGATAAAGCTCCCCTGCATGCCATTTTGGAAAATACATGAGAATTTCTTCCTCGTGGTTGTATGCTTCCACCAACTAGTCAAGTTGCAGTTCACATCCATGTCTGTCCAAAACTGTCATTTGATCCTGTTAGATTGTGTGAAAATGTCATAATTAGCTAATGAATTGTGAGGTCACGGTGCCCTTTGGCTACCAAGTTATAATCAGTTCACCGTGTGTGCCAAATCTGAGAGCTCCTAAAATATTGCGTTCATGAGAATTGAGTGGACGAACGGACAAACCCCAAAACATAATACCTCCTCCCACGGCTGTTGCAGAGCCATTACAAAAACGAGGTTAGTAAATAAACTAATTATTTCTTCACTTTACATCTGTAAAAAAAGGGCAAATTGCACTCGGCTGCAAAACTTTATGGGCACGTTTGCGCTGTAAGATCATTAATGGTATCTTCTGTGAATTGGACCTTGAGACGGGGCAATTCAGCGCCCGCAATCCATTCTTTGAGACATTACACCGAAGGGCGAATGCACAGACAACAATAATTGTATATCTTGGCATTGACCTAAACAACCAGAATGAGTCCTTGTATCATTGCGGCCGTACGAGACACCAGAAGGCTGGTCGGTGTGTTGCATCCTTCCCTGGAGAGCAGAAAAGAGTCGACCTGTCAGACATGTGTGAGGTCTGCAAGGGCTTCCAAGAGGAAGCAGGACTTTGAAAAGCAGCAGCCTGTGTTCATGGAGCTGCTGTGTCATGTAAAGACAAGCAGAGAGGCAGGAAACAAGTTGCATCCTAAAAAAAAAAAAAAAAAAAAAAAAGTGGATCTGATTTCAATCAGGACATTAAATATCAACTATTGTAATGAAAGACTAATCCTTCAAACTAAAAATACAAAACTTTTTCAATGGAAATAAGTGATAGTTACAGCCTGAAACACAACTTTAGGTAAATAATAATAATAATAATAATAATAATAATAATAATAATAATAATAATGAAGCTTCTTTGGCCCAGATCTTGATCACAGTCTTTTGCATTGGGCATCTGATCCGATTATTTTCACCTAAATGTGGATTAAATATCCATCTCACACTTCTTCACTTTCACAAGCGACTTGATCAAAACACTGGAGGTCCTGATTTAAAGCTGACCAACTTAAATTATTACTATAACATGAAGGAAGGTCTAACTGGAAGAAGTTGTCTCCCAAAACCGATGTGAAGCACTCGGGTAGAAATAAGACACGTCACTCTGTTGGATTTGTTGGAACCACAGAAGCACGCGGTCCATTCTCTGTGAAATCCTGCAGCTGTTAGGAAGGAGAGGATCAATTATTATCGGCTTTATTTTAGCCCATACGGATCCATCAAAACATGCCACGGTGGATCCCGATACTGACTCCTAAACATCTCCAGTGAATGGAACAAACCACAGAAGCACTCACTGTCAGATGCTCTTGAACGAGACCATCTTAAATTGGGATGAAGCCTCTTCAGCTGCCTCAGAGTCCTCTTTTTCCCACTTCAAGTAGAATTTTCACCAACTCTCTCTTTTCCATGTACTGTATTGAAACGATATTATCCCCTTTGTGATTTGAAGTTCTGTGCGTTTATGCAGAGCCCCGCACAAGGCCGACCCTTACAGCGGCAGCGCAGGCTCCAGTGCGGCCGCAGCCCTCAGCTGCATGCTGCACTGCATAACAACCCTGGACGTGACCATGGCCCACTGATTATTGTATTAATCTTATTAAAAGACGAGACCTATTTCATAAGGGAAATGCATCATACACGGGAACTTTAAGGTGAGCGAATGAGTCGCATAGCCGGTACGGCGACAAGCTCTGTGTTGCATAGCAACAACAATGATGTGGCACTCCCTGCAGCCTTCCCATATCTTCCTGCGCTACCGCAGATGCTGCCAGCGTTACGTGAGTCTGAGACAATTACAATGCTTTAACAGTTTGGAACTTCTCTCTGTAGTCACACATTCCAACAGTATTGTGAACATGCTGCCACCATGCAGCCTCAGGTTCACTGTACATCACAGTCTGGTGAAAAACAACAGATCTACGGTGTTCTGTTCATAGTGAGACGGTGATGAAGAGATTGTGTCTCCCACTGTGCTTTGTTCTCCGTGCCGTCTCTCTATTACTGAGAAGAATGGGGATGCCAAGATATTAGCCCATTAGCTGCTAATGTGCCAAGAAAAGAAGAACTCAGCCTACGATGCATTACTGCAGTGTGTGTGTGTGTGTGTGTGTGTGTGTGGCCATGCTATTCAAACAAAAGATAGCCGGGGTGTAGGAGGGGAGTATTTGTGTTCGATCATCTTCTCAGACGGTGAGCATTGACAAGATTAAGTGTGTGTTTGATTCGACCACATTTCTAAATATAGCGTCCATGCACAGCCTGGTCACGAGGTGTCAGTGTCGGACCAGGGTGGTTTCCCAGAGCGAGAGCTTTGACCACACGGCACAATGCATGAGCAGGTCTCACCTTATAAGCCATGATGAGCATGTGGACGACACCGGGCGCTCCGTGGCACCAGTGAACCAGCCGGTCGCTCTCGTTGCTCAGCGACGACGGGAAGTTCCCCGAGCGAAACCTCTTGTGGCGGACGTAGTCGATGCTGGGACGGATCAGCTCCGACAGAACGTCCGGGTGGACCTTTGCTCCCGGCTGGAAAGAGAGATAGTTTTAATTATCGCTGGTCCTCTCTGTCAGAGTTAATACACAACCAACACATAAAAGACAAGACGCCCACACTCGGCGGCCAAAGCAACTCAAATTAAGCCGGCACAGAGAGTCCCAGCAGGCTGGTGTTTGGATGCCTATACGCACTTTTGATTTGACAACACGTCGTATGAGCTGGTTCACAACAACCTCATGTCCACTGAATGTGGACATTCTTTAAAGGGGAAATGAAAGAATTAGGGTTGGAACACATTCTGGTGTTTACTGGTCTTCATTTTAAAAAGTTGGCAAACAAAGTACCAGAATGCCGCAGCGAACTGCATCATATTTTTGGCGGCCAGTTACTGCTGCACGCTCAAGGCCCTCTTGCAGTTTTGGTGACTCACTCACTTTCTCAAAACACCTTTTATTGCCTGTTTTATACTGCAATCGACCGCCTGCTGACTCCTCCCTTTCTACTCCTAACAGTCCCCCGGCTGGTAGGGGTCGCTAGGGATAAGACAGCCGAGTGCCTCTCAGACCCCCAGCTGCTACTCTGTGTCCCAGAGACACAGAGGGGGAAACAGTTTACTCACTTTTATTGTTTTGGACGGTGTGTTTGGCTAGCCACTAAAGTTACTGCTAACTGACTCACTCACTCACACTCTCTCTCACACACACACACACACACACACACACACACACACACACACACCGCCAGCCGCTACTAAGCAGGCCGACAGCTGGGTGAGTTTTGTTTTGAAAGATTGGAAACAAATATCCAAATAACAAATAGATATATAGGACAAATAAATCTAAATTTGACTAGCCTGCACTAGCGTCGTAACTACAGATGTTAACCATATAGAAATTTGCCTACAGAGCACAAGACACACTGCGTGATACAAGTCTTTCTAAATCATGGCATGTATCAAATATTTGAGTATTTGTTCAGACCACACAGTTAAAATTTGACTAAGACGTCGCAACACCGTTGACCAGCCAATGGACCCCCGTCTCACCTGCATGAGCATGTAGAAGATGCCAGCCAGGCCGTGGGCAGCGCCGATGTACTGCTTCTTGTGCCATTCATAGAGCAGGGGGCAGCGCTCCGTCTTCTTCTGCTCTGCCGACATGTTCTTCCCCGATTCCACGATGGCCATTGCCACCTGAGGATTGGTGTGGGAGGAAAAGGTTTTTATAGTGGAGAGGACTGGTCTGACAGCGTCCTGGCAGAATGTTAGTTCTCTTTCTGGGAACTGACTTCCTACGTCTTGCCAGCGTTAATATTTGTGTCCTCTGGTGTTTCATGTGGAGAATGTCCAAAGAGAATTTAGCCCACAATCAAACCTGCTTATTGGATCAAAATCCTTTCAAACCCCTCAGCAAATCTAATTATGTTTAGCTTTTAACATTCATACATATAGATACACACATATATACACACACACACATATACAGGTATATGTACAGTATACATGTATGTGTATGCATGGTTGCGTGTGCGTGTCTTGCGGCTGGAAGTTGGGAGTCAGCAGTTTATGTTGTCCCCAGGCAAGATGGAGTGAATGATAAAGAAAGGCAAACTGTTCTGCTGCAGCAGCACTGCCTCCTTAATGACAGAGCAGATTTATAGCCCGCCAACTGTTCATTTACACAACGCTTCACTCCTGGTCATCTATACTGCCATCCCGCCTCAAACACACCTTTCCTTTCTCCAAAGCACGATTTCATCTTTATATATGTATACAGTATATTTGCATCTTGCAGAGTTGTGATGATACTGTATCTCTTTTGACCAAATCTGTCCACAGACAGAAATATGAACACTAAAGACACACACACACACACACACACACACACACACACACACACTAAACAGCACCCTGGGGCGCAGCCACTGTTTGGTATAGCGTGCAGAGTGCTGCTGTGTGTGTGTGTTGGTGGTGGTGACGGGTATATGAACAGCAGAGCGGTGCTGCAGGGAAACTGGAGCTTTACAGCTTTACATTCGTGTCCCTTCATCAGTCATAACAAAGCCTCTATCGGAAACTCTCCATCAGAAACTCGTGGGAGCCCACTGCTGCTGCCTACTCTCTCAGCCCTTCTGTCACACTGCGCGTGTGTGTGTGTGTGTGTGTGTGTGTGTGTGTGTGTGTGTGTGTGTGGGTACACAGTATATGTGTTTTGGCCTGGCACTTCACCAAAAGTGGACAGCACAGTTTTCTGCAGCGAGTGTGTGTGTGCGCTTAAATAAATAATTAAAATAGAGTGTGGAGAGATTATTATCCACTGTATGTGTTTGTGTCCTCAGTGCCCTGGTCCTCGTCCACTTTTGTCCCAACTCGATGTCTAACAGATGGTTATTACAGCAGCCTCACAGAACAAAAGAAAGCCTGCCGTCTAGAGATACCTTCCAAGCAGTTTCACCTCCTCTTCTATAGAGGGAAGAGCAGAAACTCAAACACCGTCTATGCATGTACGAACATTAGAGCCTGGCCAACATATAGAGTACTGTATATACCTCCTCATCAGTGTTTATCAGATTGTAAATGAACTGACAAGCTGTAACAGTCAAAGAGAACTAAAAATAAAAGTATGAAATTAGACACTTCTGCTCATGAAGTCACTTAAGTGGACGTAAACTAGAGGTATCGGCGTATATTTTGGCCAATAAGTGACAAGAAATTCCAGTACAGAAATGCCAAAGACTCCGTTACACATGCTGACTGAAGCTTCGGGTTTCTGTTGACTACAACTAGACCAAAGCTTGCGATGATGAAATAACTCAAATGTGACAAAACTGTAAAAAGACATTCTCAACAATGAACCCTGTGGTGGCATATGGTGGCTGATGTCACTGTGGTCAGCCTCCAACAGAACAGATATCAACATATCAGCTGTAATCAGAGACATGAGCAACTCGTGATAACGTCTGATTTGATAGGATTTTTAAAATTATTTCCAGATCAGAGCACACTTAGTGCTGAATTGCTTGACAATGCAATATGCTTGTGCTTCAAAATACTTGGAGATGAAAGATGGAGACTGTAACTGTTAAACTAAGGGAGTTACCGTGGTAACGGTGCTCTCATCCACCGTGTCAGCTCCCATCTCTTTGTTGACGTAGAGCAGAGCGTAAAGGTAGCCGGCTCGGCCGTACAACAGCTCATCCGGCATCTCGGAGTCTGGACTCAGCACGGACCGCTGCAGCTGGAGGAGCCTGACGGTCGGTCGGTCGGTCGGTCGGTCGGTCACACACACACACACACACACACACACACACACACACACACACACAC